GGAAGGAAGGAAGGAAGGAAAGAAGGAAGGAAGAGAAGAGAAGAGAAAAGAAGAGAAGGAGAAGAAGAGGGCTATGGAGTAGCAGAGGAGGAAACACAGGACAGGAAGGCAGGCAGGAGGAGAGAGGACAGCACTCGTGCGGCAGCATCCAAAGGCCAGAGTGGGGACCCGTGCTGCTTCCGCCGCTCCTCGGATGGTGACGGAGCCCCGCCGCGGCCGCAGCCCCCCCCGCGTCCCGGCTCCGCAGGCCTACAGCGCCGGAGCCCTGCAGGAATCATGCCCAGATCCTTCCTGGTCAAGAAGGTCAAACTTGACACGTTCTCCTCGGCAGACCTCGAGAGCTCCTACGGGCGCGCCCGAAGCGACCTCGGCGTGCGACTGCAGGAGAAAGGTGCGAGCTGACATGAGGCTGGGGGCGGCGAGGGGCCCAGGGCAATGCTGGAAGGGGTAGGGGGCCAGAGTGTGGGGCTGGAGGGAGCAGGAGCCCCAGGAAATAGACCCGAGGAAACCAGAACCAGCAGGAGGCGGTGGCTGGAGCAGGACTTGGTTGGGGGGGAGATGGGGGTGGGGAGAGGGGAGCCCAGATGCAGGCCAGAGCCAAGCCAAAGGTGGGAGGGAGAGTGTCAATACAGGAGAGAAGGTGGGGAACAGGCGTCAGGAACAGGAGGTACTTGAAGGTTCACACTGACCCATACCCTGACCCACGGTGGGACAAACACAGAATGGACACCTGCTGACATGACAGGACCTAGGGATGCATCAAACCCACACTCAAAAAACTGGGCCTGGCTCAGAATTCTCTTTGCTTCTTTGGCTAAAATTCCAGGACCCCCTCCTAGGAACAGTAGGGAAGTGCTGATCGTCAGGGAGTAGCCATGTGGTCCAGTGGGGGCCGCCCACCTGTCTGGCAAAGGTACCAGCAGAGACAGCAGCAGTGTCCTTCCTTGAAGCCTGGGTCAGGGAGAAGGGTGTGGGTAGGTGGGCTGTGGGCACAGGAGGTCCAAAGTGCTGGAGATAGGGGGAGGTTCTTTGTGTAAGGGTGCCCAAATTCAAGGACAACTGTTAGCATGCAGGCAAGGAGGCTGGGAGTGCCAGCAGCCTGGGGTGATAAAACAAGTGTGACCTGCAGGAGCATAAGCCTGTGTGTGAGCCTGTGTGCACCCATGTGACTGCATGTGGCCATGTGACTGTGCGCTTGTGTGTGACCCTGTATGAGTGTGTGCCTGCCTGTGTGCCACTACATGGGACCATGTGACTCTGAGGCCATTATGCACCCATGTGACTGGTGACCCTGGTGGAGAGTGTGTTGGGGTGCTTGACCCTGCATGAGTAGGTGGCATATGCCTGGATCAGGGCTCTGCCCACCCTGAGGGGACTCCAGGGTTGACAGTGTCTGAGAGAGTGGGTGTAACACCGAAGAAGACAGAGTCTGTATCGTGTGGGATGTGCACTTGTGACTCTGAGATCCATCTCATACCTTGAGAACAACTGCAGTTACCAGCATGAAGAATGCTGCCTGCCTGCAGTTTGTCCCTGTGAAGGTGTCCCCTGGTGGACACCCTGGCTCTGTCTCCAACACAGCGTCTTCCTGGTCACCCTCCTGGGGCTTGGGAAGACCCCCACGAAGGATTGGGGCCTGGGGGAAGAGGGCAAAGTAGAACAAGGTAGGACCCAAGGGTACAGGATGATCTGACTGAAGGGAGTGAGGGGAGAAGCAGAGTGGATGGAGGGAGAGGGTTTGGAGTTGAAGGGGATCCAGTCTCGTGAGTAGAGGGAGATCTAGGAGATGAAAGGGAGGTGCTAGATTGGCTGCGGGGGGAGGAATAAGCCTCCAGGGCTTGTTGGTGGACCTAGAGCACTAGAGATGGGCAGCATCAAGACTGGGCGCAGGTTGCCGCCGGCCGGGTGTAAGAGTTAGTGGGAACTACCAGAGCGGGAGCCACAGGGTCCCTGGACAGGCAGTCCTGGCTTTGTGCGCTGCGGGTCTGCAGTGTGTTGCATAATCAGGGAAAACTGCTGAAGTGGGGAGAACCCGAAGGGGGGGGAGAGGGGGAGGGGGAGAAGAGTGGGGAGGAGGGGAAGGAGGGCGAGGAAAGCGCCGCCCCTCCCCCCTGACCTTGAAGCTCCGCAGAAGGAGGGGGGTAGCCGCACCCGAAGATGCGACTCTCCTTCCCCTGCGAGGGTGGGGCGGGCGGGTGGCGGGGCGGAGCCGGGGCCTGTCTCATCTCTGCTTTCCTCTCTTCCCCTCCCTGCCGTCTCCATCCTCCCTGCCCCGCCGTCCCTCGGTCCCTTATCCTTTGTCCTCTTCCTTGTTTGCTCCTTCCCGGACCTCGTGTCTCCTGCCGCCCGCCCGCGTGTGTCTCTCTTGCTGCTCGGTTCCTCTCCCGCTGTCTGCTTGTCTGTTCGCCTCGGTTCTCAGGATACCTCAACGACTACGCGGGGCCCGCCTCCGTCTACGATGGCGACGCCGAGGCGGACTTGCTCAAAGGGCCATCCCCGGAGCCTATGTAC